TTCCTAGAAATCCCCTCGTGTGAAATCCACATGGCCGAAGAGTCCGACGTGGGGACGAGGGAAGCCCGTGGTCTCCCGACAACAGAACGGATGCCGACATCCCCGCATCTGATAGCCGACGTGGCCGCAACGTAAACCCCGGGACGACAGTGGGAGTCCCCCGACTGGAGCCAGTCCAGGCGTCGAGAGAAGAAGACAAACCGCGAGATCGGGGAAGACGTCCTAGGAAAGAACCCACAAAAGAGGACGACGTCCTCGACCCCCGATACCAGTTCAAGGAAAAGAAAGGAGGTAACCGAGCAGAGCCGTCCAAGGAGGTAGAGATCATTTACGTGGACGAGCCGACGTGCGACAGACAACTTCACATCGGGGCACATCTACCGGAACCACTCTGAACCGAGATGATCCGATTCCTCTGAGCAAACACCGACGTCTTCGCCTGGAAACACGAGGACATGAAGTCGGTAAACTGTTGACATCAAATCTCTCTCATACTTTTATATCAAATCAACATTAATTAATTTATATTCAATATTATTTTATTACAAACTCAAAATCCCACAAATAATTTACCATGCCAATTTTTTCAAATTAACCATTTTGAGTGAAAATTATTATATCCAACAACACCTAACAATATAACTTGATGGATTGATCAAACTAAAGATATCAATAAAATCCACAATATTGCAAGGAGAATAACAACGAGACAATCACCTAAAAGTCAAGTAAGGTTAACGAGAGAACATATTATTATCTAATTGAGATTTTGGGGTTCGTAACTACTCGGATATCATTTGAAGTTATTTTTATTTCATTATTGCATTTTAATTTTCGTTCATAAATTTCCTATAATAAAAGTTTATGTGCAAGTACATGTCCCATATTCGTGCTTATTTGTAATTGGCTAGAGACCAAGGAAAGATAACAAATAGCTAAAATAGAAAAAATTGTTATGTAAAAGACTAAAAATATCAAGAGGTTAATATGATCTTGGGAGGGAATTAAAATGTAACAAGGTCAAAGGAGTTGGTTGTTTATTCACTTATTGTGAGACCAAGGGGAATATGTAACAGAGATGAAGGACTTCGGGTGAAGTTTATTTCACTATTATTGGCGTCGTCTGTGGGAACTGTTCAAGAAGCCAAAATAGACCGTGGCAAATAGAGTTTCGACAGAAAAATTTTGAAAAACTTCCAGCAACTCTCCTTCACCTTTGTCGTCGGCCGTAGAAAATGAACTCTGATTGGAATTTTTTTTCTGTCATCGGATAAATTTCCTCGAGGTGAATCTCTCCTTAAAATTTCATGCAAAAATTACACCGAGAAGAACGTCAATTTGGCCAGTCAAACATTTCGGATCAAGTGAATTTTGGTAAACTTTCGGTATTCAAATGCATTTTCCTGGAGATTTGTGAGGGCTATGATAATTCCGAGACCACCATTGGAATCCTCTCGTTGAGGCGAGTCTACAACGTATTACCTTCACCGACCGCCATCACCGACCAAAGTTCTCCGACCATGATAATTTTTATTTCAGTACAAAGCTCTTTTCGTGCTCATCATCCTCTTAAAATTTCAGGCAAAAATTCCACCGAGAATGTCATCAAATTTTACCAGTCAAAGTTTTTGGATCTAAGAAATCTTGGTCAACTTCGGTCTTCTTTTTCAATTTTCTGGCGAGTCACTTCAAAGAGGACACCGTCAGGATCGCATCGTCGAGGCGCGCACACAGCCGGTCATCTTGCCGAAGCCGACGAGTTTTTTCGATAGACATTTTTTTTGGCCGGTCACTCTCATAGCTCAAGTTATAGTCCCGCGCCTGCCCTCAGCGCACGGCCCAACGAGGAAATAGCCCGCTAGCGAGGCGCAACCAGCGGTCCAAGAGAAGAGTATAGCCCGCGTTCAACGCGAAGAGGAGGCCCAGGTGAGCGGTCCGTGTTCATGCCAGTGGGGAAGCCCAAAAAGTGGCTTAGAAGATAAGCCCAACTTCTATCAGCTCCAACGTGTAGGCCGCGCCCTGCCTGCGCGGCACGCACTCCTTAGAGTATTTGGCCCACGCGGCCCACACGAGGCTCGCCGCAGCCCGTGTGAGATCCAGTCTCAGTCCACGTATGGCACAAGCTCTCCCAGCACCCCTTCCCGGCCCATTGCGCTGCCAAGCGAATTATTTTCATGGCCCAGTGAGAAAATCTGGCTCAACAGCGGCTTAGACTAGCATGACTTGGTCCAACAACTTTGTTTCGTGCCCAAGACTACTTTAGGACGATTCAACGGACGGTGAATCCCCAACGAGTCCGAAGTGATACGACATGGATGGTGATGTAATTTGAGATAACGTTATTATGATGAAGGTATGAGACTAATTTAAAATTTGGATTCATTTTTTTTAATTGGTGAAAACTGTAAAATTATTTGGTTTATTCGTGGAGAAATCATTTCATTTATTCG